TATATATATATATATATATATATATATATATATATATATATATATATATATATATATATATATATATATATATATATATATATATATATATATATATATATATATATATATATATATATATATATATATATATATATATATATATATATATATATATATATATATATATATATATATATATATATATATATATATATATATATATATATATATATATATATATATATATATATATATATATATATATATATATATATATATATATATATATATATATATATATATATATATATATATATATATATATATATATATATATATATATATATATATATATATATATATATATATATATATATATATATATATATATATATATATATATATATATATATATATATATATATATATATATATATATATATATATATATATATATATATATATATATATATATATATATATATATATATATATATATATATATATATATATATATATATATATATATATATATATATATATATATATATATATATATATATATATATATATATATATATATATATATATATATATATATATATATATATATATATATATATATATATATATATATATATATATATATATATATATATATATATATATATATATATATATATATATATATATATATATATATATATATATAAATAAAATTTAACCTAATCATACCAATAATTAATTGAATTTAATAATTAATAATTTACCAATAAATAACAAAACTTCTACAATAATAGCAAATGCTTTGTATGGAATAGTTTAGCAAAATTATTTAGAGTCAATTATTACATAGTTAAGGCACTGGTTGGCATTTTGGATTTGGCATTTTTACAGCAGAAAAATATTTATTATTATTATTATTAATAATAATTGTAGCGGCTTTCCAATTGCTGCTATTGTTGATAGGTTAAGCAAGCTTTTTTTTCGCATTAAAAGTCAGAGTCTGTAGGTAAAACAGATGCAATAAAAACGTCATTATTTTCCAATCAACAAAATTCCTTCATCTATATTACACTGCTCTCGTTACTTTATGTTACGGTCAAAAACCGGTGTGGTTGCGTCCGAAAACGCATACTTCCATACTATATAGTACGCTAAAATCAGTATGTGAGCCGAGTAGTATGTCCAAATTCATAGAATTCGAAAAACAGTATGCGAGAAGTACCCGGATGACTTACTACTTCCGGCGAGATTCTGGAGTGCGCATCCCATGCATGCTGCGCTATCCCATAATGCCCCGCGAGCGAATTCATGAATGGGAGTAAAGTGACGCAAATTACGCAGGTACGTCACGTGACTATGTCAAAATGGCGAATGTAGTACATCCGAATTCCATTTATACTTTTCACATTCATACTGTATAGAACTTGATGGTCACAGAAAAGTTTGCGCTGTTATAATTCACTTACCGTTTAATACGTTTTCGATTTTAACCCGCTACTTAAAAAACGATCGAATATTTTGAATAAGAAGCTGTAATGTAGCCGTGGCCGGATGAATTTTGGTGCAGCGCCCGCCACGGAAGAATGAATGTAGCAGAAACCATGTAATAATAATAATAATATTAAATTACTACAACTTATTATTGATAATATAATAAAAATAAATTATTATAATGATATTTTAAAAATATAAATAATAATAACAATAAGAAATATTATTATATTACCGAATAAAGGCCTTAAGGGTGGCTTTTTGGGTCAGTGAAAACAACAACAAAATGATGTAATAAATAAAACAATTATATAATATAACATGAATATTATTTATTATTATATTTTTACCTTTACATAAAATTACCAATAATTTATTTAATAATCAATAATTTACCAAAAAAAAAAAAAAACACTACAATAAGAGTTAATGCCTAGTATGGAATAGTAGCAAATAATGCTGGATGAATTATTACATCGATGAGGGCCTGGTTGGCATTTTGGATCTGTGACAACGACAGTAAAAAATTTTTTTTATAATTAATAATAATAAAATTATTATTACAACTAATTTTATAATACTCCAGTGAATAATAATATTGCACAATAATATAATATAATAAAATATTACATAATGTAATATTTGAAGGAAATTTTGAAGCTAATTAATTAATTAAAAAATTTAATAACATTACTTTTACACTTAGACTTGTACCATTGGCACAGGTTTGGAACAGTAAAGAAAAAAAATGCTTAAAACTTGAAGTCGTCTAAAAGTAATTCATATTCCGTCACTGACCCGAATCCCTTTCAAAGCCAACAATTCTGTAGTCATTTTCTCCAAAGCCCAGTTCCTGTCCGAGGAGGAAGTCGCTCTCCAGCACCAGGCTTTCCTTATTACCAGCAGCCACTCCATCTTCAGCTCCCACTGCAAACAAACAGCAGATCACAGCTTGTACAATACAGTTTATTCACAATGCTGGAACAACTCATATTTACTGTTTTACATTTTTAATTTCTATAGCTTTTAAGAATGTAAAATGAGCCATATGTTGATAAATAATGTTATGATAGCTGTTTTAACATTAAGTTATGATTGAATTGCCTCTTGTTACAGTTCTGAAATAGTTTGATAACAAGCAGGAAACGTTCATGGGCCAATGTCGTCCCCACATTGAAAATGTCTATAAAAAGGCCACATTTTCAAGTTTTGAAGTGAGGACCTTAAAGTCTCTGGTGCTGATGTTTTACTCGTTATCAAATTCATGTTTTCTATAGCAAGCTTCACAATATTATATTTGTGCATATACATTGGATTAGTCAGTACTAGAGCCAAATCTGGAGCTAATCTGACAAAATAATTTATGTTAGTACACTCAAATTTATATGTTATAGAAAATATAAATAAAACATTGAAAAGGAGCAAAATGCAAGGCAAGGCAAGTTTATTTATATAGCACATTTCATACACAGTGGCATTTCAAAGTGCTTTACATAAACAGGAATAAAAAAGACAAGTTTAGGAACATAAAATGCAGACAATAAAAATTATTTTAAAAAAAAAAGATAAAAACAATTTAAAATGTGTTAAAATAGGCTATAAAAGAATGAAAAAGAAAATGAAAAACATAATAGAGCGATCTGTCGGACGTAGCACAGTGCTCATTCAGTAAAGGCACAGCTAAACAGATGTGTTTTCAGGTTTTCAGTCTTGATTTGAATGTGCCTAATGTTGGAGCACATCTAATCATTTCTGGAAGCTGATTCCAGCAGCGAGGGGCATAGTGGCTGAAGGCAGATTCACCCTGCTTTGACTGAACCCTTGGAATTTCTAGTTTATATGATCCTAAAGATCTGAGTGATCTGTTGTGTTTGTATTCAGTGAGCATATCTGTAATGTATTGAGCTCCTAGGCCATTTAGTGATTTATAGACCAGTAATAATACTTTAAAGTCTATTGTGAATGTAACTGGCAGCCAGTGTAAAGACTTGAGGACAGGTGTTATGTGCTCTGATTTCCTGCTTCTGGTCAAAATTCTAGCTGCAGCATTCTGGATAAGCTGTAACTGTCTGACTGTCTTTTTGGGAAGGCCAGCGAGGAGTCCATTACAGTAATCCACCCTGCTGCTGATAAAAGCATGAACAAGTTTTTCTAAATCTTCACTGGAAACAAAGCATCTGATTCTTGCTATGTTTTTGAGATGATAGTATGCTGATTTACTGACTGCTTTGACTTGACTGTTGAAACTCAGATCTGACTCAAGAGTCACACCAAGATTCTTGACCTTATTTTTTGTCGTTTGACCTTTAGAGCCAAGGTACGCATTTACCTTGAGAACCTCATCTTTGTTCCCAAATGCAATGACTTCAGTTTTCTCTTTGTTTAACTGAAGAAAATTGGCACATCCAATTGTTAATTTCATCAATGCACTGGTAGAGGGTGTCAATAGGGCTGTAGTCATTACGCAGAAAGGCTAGGTAGATCTGAGTGACATCAGCATAGCTGTGGTAGGAGATTTTGTTCTTTCTTATTATTTGGCTCAGAGGGAGCATGTACAGGTTGAACAGGAGAGGTGCCAGAATCGAGCCTTGTGGGACTCCACACGTCATGGGTGTCCACCTCGACCTATGATCACCTATACTGACATAGTAACCTCTCCCTTCAAGGTAAGATCTGAACCATTTGAGGACTGTCCCAGACAGCACAACCCAGTTTTCCAGCCTATCCGGAAGTATGCTGTGATCGACAGAGTCAAATGCAGCACTGAGATCGAGCAATATCAGCACTGTTATTTTACCTGAATCTGTATTTAGGCGTATATCATTGATTATCTTTATAAGAGCGCTCTCTGTACTGTGATGTGCTCTGAAACCAGATTGAAAATTGTCTAAACACCCCCAGAAGTTTAAGAACTTGTTGACCTGGTTAAAAACAACTTTTTCAATGATTTTGCCAATGAAAGGGAGATTTGAGATTGGCCTGTAATTGCTCAATAGGGTGTTATCCAGGTTGCTCTTCTTCAAGAGGGGTTTAACAACTGCAGTTTTAAGTGAGTTTGGAAAAATCCCTGAGAGAAGTGAAGCATTTACCACTTTTAGAAGATCCATTTCTAAACAGGTAAACACCGTTTTGAAGAATGATGTGGGGAGCGTTTCAAGACTGCAGGTTGATGTTTTCATAATTTGCACAATCTCTTCTAAGATTTTACCGTTAATTGCCATGAAATCAGACATAATGTCTGATTTCTTAAGTTGTGGTTGAGCCAGTTTGACTTTGACACAATTTGGCTGATTGGATGAGCTGATTGCCTTTCTGATATTATTGATCTTATCAGTAAAGAAATGAGCAAACTCATTACATTTGCTTTCAGAGAGGAGCTCACTTGGAATCCGACTAGGGGGGTTTGTGAGTCTCTCTACTGTTGCAAAGAGTGTGCGAGCATTATTTAAGTTGCTGTTTATAAGGCTTGAAAAGAAAGTCTGTCTAGCAGTGTTTAGTTCCATATTAAAAGCATGAAGACTGTCTTTATAGATATTATAATGGACTACTAGTTTCGTTTTTCTCCACATACGCTCAGCTTTCCTGCATTGTCTTTTCATCATTTGTACTCTCGGTGAGTACAAAAGAGAAACAATTTTTTATTGACATTTTGTAGTTTGTAATTCTTTTTAATATTTTGCTAGAATTTAAATTAGTGGTGGGTCGTTATCGGTGTAAACGTGCTGTGTTAATGTGAGACTTATCGCGCGAAAAAAAAAAAATTGTTGCTGTTAATCTATTCTCAAAGTTGGGTTGGGAGCTGGGTCTCTTCTACGCAAGCTTTGGTGACTTTCACCTTGATATTTTAGCGCGGATGTATACCAGACCGGTGAGCCGTCTGACAAAAAAGTGCTTTTCTGAATCAAATCAGCAGGATGCCTGACTTTAACTGCAGTTTGCCAGTTTCACTTTTACTCATGACCATTTCATTCAAGGTGCCGTGAACAACTGGGGTATTAGACGCAAATAAGGAGTAAGGACTGGCGAGAGTGTTATGGAATTTTGTAACGCACGCCAAATGTAAAGAAAAAAATTCAGAATTTTGCGATGAGTGTGTGTGTGTTCAGTCCAATGACTGTAAAAAATATGGACGACGCGACAGCCCTTTTTCCCATTGAACGCCTTGAGGGCAAAACGCCTGCTTGACGGGCACAAACTGTCGCAAAAGACTGCTGAAATTGGAGCCTTTACATGTGCAGAAGGATTGTCTGATGGAGCCAGAGGAGGAGCCGCGAAAATGAGCGGAGTCGAGCTTCCAACCAAACGCTTTATGTAAAATCAACAACGGCCCCCAAACTTCTTAGCATGCGTTTGCTTTCATATCAACACAAATGGATGTAATAACGTTAACAAATATGAGGGTTTTATATATTCAATCGCGCCAGCTCCGGACCGCAGCACATAACCTACTCGCGGCGTCGCGGGCTGATTTCGGCTCGCATGCGGCAGCGCCGGCTCGCTCGGCCGCCGCATCTGGCTCGATTGACTCGGGCTGGAATCGGGCAGTGAGTCCAGGCATCCGGAGTGGGTCCAGCAGAGGTAACATTAGTCAGTCTGAGCTCTGAGGGGTAAGTCTCCGGCAGGCGAGAATCTAGCTGGAACTGGCCCGAGTGTATTTTGCTATCTGGGTGGTTAGGCGTGTATCAGCAAACTAATAAAGCCCGAAAAAAGCCCTGACCTTAGCGAATAAACAGTGTTCCACCAGATCATGTATGTCAAAAACTGTAGTTTACTGCTGAACTCATTTTGTCATGGTAAAATAACACAGAAATCGAATAATAACACTTCAGTCTTCTGCCGAAGCTCAGACGCGCTGCTTTGAGAAACTGTCAATCACAGCTGTCAATCACGATGACACGCCCAGCATTAAATTACAGCTAAAAACAAACTGTTTACAAAAATGAAGATCTGCACCTATTTCAGCACAATAACCAGTGCCTTAATCCACCAGAACCATCTTTCGGGACATTTTATTGCAAGTGTAATTAATTTTTTTATTTGGGCTCAAGTCTCCTTCATTAACACGGAGGAGGCGGGCTTTATGACTTGTACTGCAGCCAGCCCCCAGGGGGCGATCTAACGGCCGGGACCTTCACTCAAACGCAGGCTTGCGGCACAGTTGGTTCAGTCCTTTAAGGACAGTTGCGCGTGTGGATCTTGTTAGAAAATATGGTGAAAAGTCCTCCATGGCAGTAATTGTTTGAATCTGATGTTTACTTTAATAATGCCACTAATATCTGAATACTCCACATGTCTTTATTCCATTTCTGTTTACTTCAGTTATGACTTTAGTCGGATTAAAATGATCAAAATAAATAAATAAAAATTTAAAAATCCGTGTTTGGAGCTTATGTAGGCCTACAGTTTAACAGTAAAAAAACAAAAGTACATCTTATCGAACATCATTTATTTTCATCATCAATTATCCTAGTAGAACAGTTTCTCAAGCAGATTGTGATGCATTTTGGAAACAGGAGATAAGTCCCCGTTCTAATGCGCCACCTGGCTTGAGAAACCTGTTCTCAAAGACTTACTATTTGGGTAGCACACATATTCTGAATGCCTCGACAGAATTCAAATGAGCCATTTTAATCTAGATTAATTCAGAAAAAAAAATTATCTATGCCCACCTATAATTTAAATGCATTATCTTCTTTTATTTCTAAAGACGTTCAGTGACTACAATATTATTTTAATAAATATGTCCGTTTAATAAATAAAAAAAAAGTTTTCTTGCACCAATATAAATTTAAATATTTATTAAAATGCACCAATATATATTTAAATGCACCAATATATGTGACCGATATTCACCAAGAAATGGATAAAAATATTCATTTTCAAAATGCGGTGGGCTCATTTATGTTGAGTACTGTATATATCGCAGA